CGCTCGCTCTGCTACTGGTGGCCTGGGTTCGGATCCTGGGCGCGCACCGATGCACCACTTCTCTGGCCATGCTGAGGCCACGTCCCACATACAGTGACTAGAAGGATGTGCAACTATGACATACAACTATCTACTAGGGCTTTGGGGGAAGAAAAAAAAAAAGGAGGACCATTGGCAATAGATGTTAGCTCAGAGCTGGTCTTCCTCAGCAAAAAGAGGAGGATTAGCATGGATGTTAGCTCAGGGCTGATCTTCCTCACCAAAAAAAAAAAAAAAATTTACTTACATGCATAGCAAAGCTCAAATCAATAAAAATAAATCGCCAGGTAGGGGAATGAAGAAGGAACCCACAGCCTAAGCTGAGCTGCCCAGTCTGAGGAGGCCCTGGAACTGGATGATACCTTAGGGTCCAGGGTTCTGCACCTGTCCTCATGCACAGCAGGGAGCCCGGGAAACCTCTACCTGTTATCCCATGGTCCCTGCATGAAGAGAGATTTCCATCAAGAGCCATGAGGGGAAATGAAAAATCTACCAAAACAGATACACACACACAAAACAACCCAACAGCAACGACAAATTGGAACCCCAAGCATGTACCTTGCAAGGGTAGAGAACCAGATATTCATTATCCATGCAATATTAGAAAATCTAAATCAAGGCACTAGCACAAAAGTGTGGTCTGCAAGTGTAGGACACTGTAGGGCTTTCAGCAGTCTGGTGACTGTCCCATAGAGCCACCTCCACATGCCAGACCTCCACTGAAGAAGAACTGCAGACAAAGTGCAGAGCACACAGTGAACACAGCATCACAAGAGATCGTATTACAGAAGAAGAGCCCACAGCCAAGGAGCTGGAGATAACAGAGCGCTCAGAAAGGGACACATCGCCCAGCGATGGGGACACGTTTGGAGAAATGCATCGTTAGGCGATGTTGTCATTGTGCAAACATCATAGAGTGCACGTACACAAACCTAGATGGTACAGCCCACTACACACCTAGGCTACATGGTATAATCTGATGGGACCACCGTTATATGTGTGGTCTGTTGTTGACCAACCGTCTTTATGCAGCACGTGACTGTAATGAATTAACAAAGGAACAGAATCCATGAAACAGGGAAGACAGAAGGAGGAGGAGGAGGAAGAGGAAGGAGAAGGAGAGGAGGAGATGATTTGAAAAAAAATCTAAGGGCCAGCCCTGGTGGCCTAGTGGTTACATTCAGCGTGCTCCGCTTCAGCTGCCCTGGTTCGGTTCCTGGGCCTGGACCTACAAGCAGCCATGCTGTGCTGGTGGCCCATATACCAAAAAATAGAGGAGAACTGGCACAGATGTTAGCTTAGGGTGAATCTTCCTCAGAAAAAAAAAAATCTAAGTAGAAATTCTAAAAATTAAGAACTACAATGCACTTGAGAAATTTTAAGATGGAGAAAGAGGGGGAGGTGGAATGCCTTGGATGAGCTCAAAGCTTCTTCCGACTCCGAGTGTCTCTCTTCCTATTTTATAACACAGAAATCCAAGGCCCAGACAGACCTCTATCTCATTAAATGAGTTCACATTTCCTGGTTCCAGGAGCCCAGCATGTTTGTGAGGGATGGACCGACTGTGGGCAACATGTTCATCTGTGGGCACGAACCACCCCCCGCCTGCCACGTTTAATTCAATCTCACCTCATGCCCTTGACTACCCCTTACTCTCCTCCCACCAACTTCTAGAATTTGGAAACAGGTAATGCCTCTGAGCGTGCAGGGGCCTGGAGTCCTTCGAACTTTTGTCAGAAAAGCTCTGTTCCCGCAAGAGTGAGTGCGAAGCTTTCCCTGCTAAGAACACTGCCCGAGACCTTGGGTTCCCCTCCAGGGTGTCTCAGACTCCAGGGGTGGAGCTCAGGTGCTGTCTGCGTGGGGTTATACCATCAGCCTTTTCCTGTTTTTAAAACTGAATTTGCTACTAAATACTTGATTCCTCTCTTTCTTGGTATTTGTCTCATATTTGCATTTTCAAACTGAAACAACAATAAAGTGAGGCTATGACCAAAGCGCACAGAAGGGACTAGTTGAAAGAAATGCTGCAGCCCTTCAGAAACGTCTTTCTGTCTGAGAAGGGAGTAAGCTGGGAGACGATGCAGAGATAACAGGGCAGAACCACACGTCCAGTAAGAAAAGCTGTTGCGGGAGCAAATGAGATGGTTTAGAAATTTGGGGTTAGGGAGTTCCCCACAGCCCAAACAACCAACTGTCAGCTAGTCTACCCCTCCTTAGCACCCCAGACAGACACGTGGGTCCTTGTTCGTTGCTTTCTGGTGAGGGGCCTGGATTTATTGCAGACTCCTCTAGAGCGAGCTTTGTTTCAAACATTTCCCCTACTTCCTTCTGCTTTCCACAGTCTAGCCAGATCTGGAGATGCATGAGGTGAGTCTGAATTCCACCCTCCCTCCCTCCCCTGCCCACATGCTTGCCAGGTCTATATAGATTTAAGATCTACACAAACTCACAAAGATCTAAACATACTCGAGGGGCCTAGAGTTATCCGAGAGCTTAAAAATGCAATCAGAGGGATGAACTCCTGAAAATTTTGGAAGTCCAATATCTTCTGTGGTATTTTTCAATACACTAACGTTCTGGGAAAATTCTATTTTAAAACTTCCCATTTGATTCCTATCTTGCAAAAATGAGGAGTTCACTGATTGTGTTCAAGTCCAAACGTCTGGACTGCTCTGGCTGAGTGAAATGGATGGAAAGGGCATCGTTAACTCAATCATTCAACATGTTTATGTTTCAAGGGGGGACAGGGTGCAGGAGCACAGGTTTCTCTGAAATCATACGAGCCCAGGTCCTAATCCCACAGCACACTGGCAGTACCATCTCTGAGCCCCAGCCCAGGTTTCAGTTGTGGTAATAGCATTATCTCACAATAATCCTTTTATTTTTATTTTATTATTATCCTCTTTTATGGATGGGAATAAAAAAATGGCTCCAAAGAAACCACCCAGGGATGGTTTCATGGAGGAGCTTAGAGTTGAGTCTTGACTGATGAATAAAATAGAAAGAAAAGACTTGCCTAGAGGGTTATGAGCCAGAGCCCAAATATAAAACCCCAGGGGGCACGTCAGGGACAGCAGACCGCCCTTGTGGTGTGGAGGGCTCAGGCAGAGCAGGCAGCTCAGCATTTAATGTGACTCGGAGTATCTGGAGCGCTTGACTTTCTTATAATAAGCACTCGGTTTTATTTTGGTGCAGGTGATTCAAGGATCACACTTTAAGAATGAATAATAACAACAGGAAATACGAACGGAAATATAGATTATGGAGGCTCTTGAATGTGAGGCTGAGGAGTGTGGGCTTTGTCCTGAAGATAAAGAGAAATCACCTAAATACGTTTGAGCGGGACGGTGGCCTGAGTGAGGCGCTCCCTTCTGAGCAGGACGACCCTGCGTGCTGCCTCCGCGATGCAGAGACAATGTGGCCGGAAACCCCCAGAGCACGAGGGAAGGTCTGAAGTCAGCGTTTTCTCAGGTTTGTGGTCAAATCCAGCTTCTCTAATTCTGTGATTACTTTAAAGCTTACATTTATAAAGTGCCTAAAACCTAATTAAAAACTGTCTGACGAGGTCTCCACGCTGTGAGCACTGACAGGAGACACGATTAAAATGGTCTGTTTCAAGTCAACTATTCCCTCATAATTTTGCATTCTCTCTTTTTACTTTTTTTTCTAATACGAAGAGTTCTTTTCCAAGTATAGTCGGTAAAGTTCTCCTCGATCCCTCTTGTTCGCGTAGCCATTTTACGCAGAGATTGAAATTCACGGCTGAGAAAAGCTTGAGGCCAGATTAGCAGTGATGCTGTTTCCACAACTCATGAATACCAGGCTTGTGACCTAAAGTACTCTCTTATAAAATGTGAAAAAATATTTAGGTTTATTGAGCACTTAAAGAAAAACAACTTAAAACTGTAATATTTTGCTGCTTCGTTCATAAAAGTGACGGTATTTCAGTTCCAGAGCCTCAAGGGCCTGAGGATGACAGCTCGTATCACTTGTAGTCACCGAAAGACCCCGGTCTCGTCCATGTGATGCTTTTCATTAAATCAGGCCTTGCTCCTCATGTCTTGATTTATTTTCTTTCTGTAATAAGTCCCAGAACAATGATGCTGGGCCATGTGCCTTGATCTTAAATTGATGATCATCGCAGGTCAAAAGTCCATAGAAGAAAGAAAGACAGCGTTTGCTGATGAAATCACGTGAGCTGATGAAACCCATAAAGAGCAGCTGTTCTTCCAGTCCAGTCAACCACAGTTTCCTTAAGAGTCACCCCAAGTTTTTATCCCATGGGATTGATGGTGGCCCAAGTTCTGTGCTTTCGTGAGTTTAAAAAGTTTCCTGTGTGAACTTAGGGAAGATGTCAGAAAAATGGACTTAACAAGGCGTTGATTATCTGGGTGAAACTATGTGATTTCACCAGGAAATTCTTGACAGAAAGAAAAATCTTTGATCCCTCATTACTTGTTTGTACTCTTATTTGCCTTTTATTATCAAGTTAAAATATCTTTCTCTTGTTGACCTTCCCACAAACCAGTAAGAACCGCCCTGCCACACAAGAAAGAAAAAGAGCTGGAGAGTAAAGGCCAGACGCAGGAAGACGGATCCCCGCTCGCAGGCGTTCCGGCCTTCTCTCCGCAGGCTCCACTCTCTCAGTGTCTCAGGAACGCATAATACAACCTCACACATACATTACGCTTAATTTTTGAGGAAAATCTTCCTTTCACAGCTAAGAAAATAATGGACAAAACCTTCAACAGTAGTTTGTACAATCCAGAATTGATGAAAGTTGTACAGTTTGTAAAGATATTTTGGAAGAATGCCCAAGTGGGCTAGTGGGATCTCACTCTGCTTACCTCCTAACTTCAGCTCTTTCACCACAGAACTTAAGGTAGTGTCAGTAAAATCTGGTGTAGAATTCTTATTTTTCTTGAGAAAGAGGAATAGTGTGCCCCTTAAACCCACCTATTTTAGCAATACTGTTAAATCATTCAGCCTAGAATCTAGAAGAGCCCAGAGATAGATCATACGATGTTTCCTGTTCATTTTTCTCTTTAAAATGATTTAAACTTGAGGATATTTGCACCTGGGAATGCTTTTCTCACTAATCAGCCTGAAAACACTATGAAGTTGGTTTTGCCCATTTGCTGGCCGGCTCTGAGCCGAGGCGGCGTTTCACCCACCACATGACAGTCTTCCTTGACTCAGAACCTCGCTTGGGCCTGGACCCCGGCCAGCACATCTGCTCTGTATCCCTGGACATATCGTCACCATCTTGATAGAGATGCATTTGGAAATGTGAACATTTGTAGAATAATTTTTTTCTTCATTTCTTTTTTAGAGAATTTAAAATTGTTTCCTTGACTTGTATTTGCCAGACTGGAACATTCACACAATTAGATTTTTCTAAATACTTCTAAGTAAAATGTCAGGATAAACATCTATATTTTACACTTTGTTGCATGCACTATGAGACATTAGGAATTTTATAGAAAACACTGTTTTTAAAATGCCATAAAAGAATGAAAATACTTTAGCTTTAAAGTCTAAAGTAAATCCTTTTGGTTCTCCCCACACACAGATTTTCTTTGTGTGGATGTGGGTTCAGGGACGGGGTCTTCTCCCCGGCTCTCAACACATTAAATAGTTGTGCAGGCCATCAAGATTCTGAGAAGGTCCTTTAAACAAAATGTTCAGATCCCTCCTACAAACCAACAGGAAAAAGACAAACAACTGGGTAGAAAAATGGGGAAAAGACCTGAACAGATATTTCACAAAGGAGGATTTCCAAATGGCCAGTAACTGTAAATATATGAAAAAGTGCTTACAAAAGTGTCCAGAAAAAAAATGTGAATTAAAACTACAACGAAATATCAGTGTTCACTCCCCTCATGGCGAAGACAGACCAAGTATCGCCGTGATGTGTGGCAACCAGAATTCCCACATCGCTGGTGGGAAGGTAAATAGGTAAAACTGCTTTATGAAACAGTTTGGCAGTTTTCTAAAATTGAATATGTGCATTTCCTGCAACCCAATAACTCCCTACCTTGGCATATGCCTAACAGAAGTTCCTGTGTGTGTTCACCGAAAGACGAGCACTGGAATGTTTTTCGCAGCACTATTTATAGCAGTCCAAGACTGCAAACTCTCCAGCGGCTTTCAGCAGGAGAAAGGACAGATAAGGTGTGGTCTAGTCCTGCAATGGATTCTCTCAGTGACGGACAAGCAGTCCTCAACTATGGGCCGCGCTATGGATGAACCTCACAAGCAACGGAGACGATTCTGTTCCATTTGTATAAAGTACAAAGTTGGAAAAGAGTCCACGGTCCTAGAAGTCCGTGCAGCATCCCCCTGAGGGTCACGACAAAGAGGAGCGGGGTGGGGGGGCGGGGGGGGCTCCAGCCGCTTGCTCTAGGTGCTGCTTCAGGAAGCTGTGCACTTACGATCTGGGCACTGTTTGTGGGTATTTATACTCCAATGAAACTTTTTTAAGTGTTTAGACTGTTTTTCCCAACAAGTCTTGTTCTAGAAATTTAACCTGAGAAAAAAACAAATTACAATAAAGTTCAAATATATATCCTACATGGATGTTCATTATGACATTAATTTAAATTTAAAAATTGAAAAAAAATGTCAAATTGTAGGAAATATTGTTTAAAATTGTGATACATTATAAAATGAAATACTATTAGCTATTTATAAATATATTTGAGGTATATATTTATTATACGTAAAAACATTTTGAAATATTAATGAAGGAAAGAGGTTGTATCAGAGTTTGACGTGTCCCAGGCGGGGTGTCGGGCCCCGAGTTGGTTGCTCCAGGAACACTGGGGACATCTGTATGACATTGGTGTTCTGTGTGAAAGGCAGGCCCCGAAGTTATGGAACATGACCACCCTCCGGGGCATCTACCAACGGTTGTTTATCTCTCTGGTGAGATTGTAGACATTTCTATTTTCCTTTTTGTAAATTTTCTGTACCTCTCAAAGTTTCTATAATGAAAATATGTTGTTTCTTTTTTAAATAAAAAAATGTTAAAATAGTACAAATCCCAGAAAACTTACTTCAATTGTTACAAGAAAGCTAGAAACTACAATCTCATTATCTATTATTTTCATCAGTTTCATTATTTTCATCAATTATAGTCATTGATGCTTATTGTGAAAGAAAATTTGTTACCCCTGGAACCTATGATGGAAGTCAACCTAACACAGTGGGTATATGGATACAAAGTAGAAAGGTAGAGGAGAAGGGACATTGGACATAGAAGCCACACCTAACAAATACGCTTCACAAACCTCTCTCCTCTTGTTGGAATGTTCATGTTTTTCAATGCTCGGTTTAAGTTCCAAGCTCCTTTATGAAGATCTTCTGGACCATGGCAGCCCAAACGAGCTGCCCTCCCTTCTCCAAACTCCAGTCTCATCTTTAATCTGCACAACTTGCTCAGTTCTCAGTGATTTCTTCCCTAAGCTGTCTTCCCAATCAGATGATAAGCTTTTTGAGAGCAGGAAGGGTTAAGGTACATTTTTACATCTGAGTAACTTCTTCCCTCCCCCACTGCGCCTGTTACAAATAAAATATTTATTAGTACTCAATAAATGTATAGTTCATGGGTGAATTCCAGTGAAGTCTTCCAGGAATGCTAAGTGTTGAGGAGAGCCATAAATTCAATAGGAAGGAAAGGATGTAGTAGAGAGATCATCAGGATCTGCTCTCACTACCTCTGAAAAACTGAATGCCTAAATTTAGCAAGACCAAGAATAGAGGTCGTCCATTTAATTAAGCCATTTCAGAGAGAGTCCAGTTCTTCCCACAGGCAAGGAGGACCATGTATGGTGGGAAGGCCTTGAGAGGCTCTGGGACTGGGTGGGCAGCCCATGCAAACCCACAGCCCTCTGCCCACTCTGCAGGTGGCAGAGATGAAGAAAGTGGCTTCAGACGGACAGTGTCCATCCACGGCAACTGGATTACAGCTCATCTTTCTGAGCCACTCCTGCCATATTAATCGTCAAGAGATAGTCCTAAAGAAGATCAAATAAATTATCAGTAAAGCATATATTTGGGAATTAAAGTCTGCATGAAGCTACTAATACTAGAAACTCTAGACATTGTGGTTGGCAGACACAGGAGACAAGATCAGAACCGCAGAGTGGAGCCCCTTTGAGGAGTGAATTTCAGGGGAGGAGTTTCAGGAAAACAAACAAGACCAGTGTTCACTGCCAGAACAATTACATACGTCGTGGAAGCATTGCTTCAAGTTCCAGCATCAAAATTGGGCTCCAGGAGAAGCTGAGGGACAGAGGTAGGACAGAAATGGGGAGTCTGGAAAGGCACACCGCCTGAGGCCAGGCCACCAGATCAGAGCGCTCCTGGGCCTGGAACACAATCACCCATCAGCACCTTTTCGCCTGATCCACATCCAGCTCACCTGCTCTGTTTCTTTCAAGCTCCCTGCATTTCTTTACAACCAACAGCCACCAATTAGCATGTGTGCTGTGGACCCAACCACTGTGGGAAATCTAAGAAAACAAAGAGAAAGATTTTCTAATTTCTATGGCTCGTGGTCATAGTCTTTGCGCCTTCCTATGTTAAAAAAGAGAATTTCAACATGATTTTGCTTGTATTTCCTTGCTGAAAAAGCTGATAAACAAAAGAAGCTCGTGTTTTGTTTTGTTTTTCTTTTATGGCTGTTTCGTTGATCAAAGTTTAGCTCCTAGTCCACTAAAAATAAAGTCAGCTGTCCTTAAAATCTTTATCATTTGCAGTTCTGCAAGTGAACCAGTTAGTGTGTACCGATGGACAGCTGCAAGAGAAGGGGTACGGGTTTATAAAAGTGTCTCCTGGACTTTAGCCTCGGGCGACAATAAAGTATTAATGAAAATGCATTAGAAGAAACAGTCAGGGACAATAATAAAACACATAAACCACCATTGAATTGTTTAAAACAATACACTCCTCTCCTTCATTACACCTGCACAGGGAGAACAGGTCAGATGGAGAAGGTCTCGCAGCATTGCCTGAAGGTCCAGGTTCTAGGCGAACAGCAGAGGATAAAAAATCCCGGAGGACAGGAACGTACCTCCGCCTGAGGGCAGGTCTGGGGAGGTTACAGGAAACACACTGCGCTGGACCCTGTCTCCAAGTCCGTGCTCAAATGCCTCCTGAAGGAGAAGTGTCTGAGGACGGCAGAGCAGTTGACTCTAACTTATTTTTATCCTTTTCCTGGCATTTATTTTTTATCCTTTTTTTGGTATTGTACACACATTTAATTTTGGAAGAATTTTAGGTGAAAAGTCTGCTGGAGCTGTGGTGTGAATTCACGTGTCAGTCAACTGGACCAAATAAAGGAGCCAGGTCACAATTATTCTGTTTTTCCCACAAATATATATTTCTGTGTTTATGCTCCATCTGCCATCACACTGGATGCAATCTAATTTGGCATAGTCCCACTTGAAGTTAAGGAATGAAATGAAATGTTTTTGTAGTGCAGATGAGAAGAGCGAGAAACTCTTTCACAGGCTCCCAGGCCCTGGTCTGTCACATCCACGGCCTTCAACGCCACAGAACCCTTCCTACAGCAGAGCGATGTTTGTTCTCCTAACTACAGGAGGAGAAATCCTGAAGACGAACGACCATCCCCAGGGACGAAAAGTACTGGTGAAGCAACACGATACAAAACGCAGAAACAGGTTAAATTTTTGATGGATGAACATCCAAAGACTTCGAGCTCTGTTTCAGTTTAGATGCTTATTCAAAGCATGTTGAAATTATACAAACCTCATGAGCTTACATAATTGAGCTTAAAACTTTTCTTGAGCAGTTTTTCCTCACAATACCCCCCTTTCTTCTCTCCTTCCTTCTCTTTGCTTCTTTGTGTAGAGTCTGGAAGGTAAGTCAAGGACGACACAAATGTGAAAACCAACACTGCAAAGTTTATAAACACAGTTCTGTCTGTTGGACGAATGGTTCCGTTTT